ATGTAATCTTAACGAAACATAGTAAAATATGCATCTATAGTTCAAAAGTCAACATCTATATTTACAATGTTATACCTCATTTCACTTTAAACATTTGGATTGGGGGACAGGCTCGAAATACTTGTTCTTACAACAGTATGTGAAATCAAAAGCACATGCAATGCATCCGTTGTTCTCCTAACAATGACCAAAATGTCGCCTTCAACAATCTTTATGTCTCGTGGAAACGCAGCCAGATAAGCACTAAATTTTCTGTCAATACAATTTTTGCAAAGGCAGGACAAATTCTGAACTTATTTTCTGTAATCTGGGACTAGGCTATTCAGTCAGAAACTTTAATCATTCTCAACAGCAACAACAGCATCAACACATCTGTCTTGCCAGCAGGGTGGCATTTTCTTTACTGCTTTGCCCTTTATTTGCTGCTCTTAATTACAGTGGTGATCAATTGAGACTATAATCTCCTTGGGCTATGTTTTCTCTTGGCTGTTATCAGTTATTCAGTGTAATACCACACTATGTGTAAAACATCCCCAGTGCTCAATAGTTCATGATAAAAAAAAAATATCTCATACATAAAGTTCTGGACATTTATAATATTCCAATTATTTTTTAAAAGAGGGCATTAAAAATGGTATTGTAAATAACAGAATCAAGGGCTGATGGAATTAGGTGTGTTTAATTAGTGTGTAAATCATAAGACGCGGATGCACACTTTTTATGGGTTTCTCACAACTATCAACTTTAATTTAAAAATGTCGATCTAGTTCAGGATGTCAAACTCGAGTCCACAGTTCATTTCCTGAATTTATAATACTAACAGTCTGCTTTCCTTCTCCCTATAATCTCTTGTTATAGCACCTTGTGTCAAAAACAACAACAACAAAACATTTTCCAAGTAACGTAATAGAACCAGTATGATACTACTGTTTTCCAAAACTAATAAAAATTAAATCCATTATTTGATGGAACAATGCAAAATTACTTTTTTTTAAAGCCAAGAGATTATTCTAATTAAGAAAATAAAAAAACACTGAACCAAATTAAGTAAAAATTCAAATTCTCTATTACTTAGGATATCTACCTTTTACCAAATATCACAGAGCAAATATGTGATGTGTGTCAGCTTCTCAAAATGAGTAGCTAGCGGCAACCATGCAAACTCCCATATGTCTAAACAGAATACTTCACTACTGCATTTTTTAAAAATGTATTAAACACTATAAGGTTTATGCCAACTATAAGAAGCCAACTGTTTTCAAAAAGAAGATTTAAAATTGCTAAATAATGAACACAACTGTGTGAAATAGTTAATATGTATAAGCATTGCTCTAGATTGGCACAATCAAGAAAAATTTTCTGCTGGATTTAGATCATTTTAACATTTCACTAATGAGATCAGTTTTTGCTTAATTGGGTCTCCAATGATGGATCCAAATAGTCTTACTTTGTTTTAGTTCTTGCTCCATTTTTAAGCATTATAATTGTAAATTAATTTTATTAAGAAAAAGATGAATTTCTAAAGTTGGATTTACTTGTCTTATTTAGATTTTAAAATCATACTACCTATACTACAAATTGCTTTTTCTATACTATTTAAATATCACCATAATGTGATGATAGGAAAAATAATACCGAAATGTCACTTTGTAAATAATACAATATATTTTGGCAGTGGGTAAAAACAAATGCAAGAATGTATTCTTCCTGGTTAAAGTCCAACTAGTAAAGTGCAAACTGTACAAAAGGACACATGTAGGAGAATTTACAAATGTTAAGAACAAACTGGAGCTAGGAGAAGGAAAAGTTCTCAAATTTATTACTAATCCAAAAGTTCTCTCAGCATCAAATTATGTGTAAAAATATGGGGATAGGAGTATGTTTCACTTTGCAGTTAAAATAACTTGAGATCAATGAGAACTTTAAAAACCTCCAGCTTTTTAAAAGGTTGTATGTGAAGTTGAAACTTCGCAAATTTTCTAAACGGTTTCATTTAATATACTGACTGCTCACTAGACAGAGGTATTCGGTTTATCTAATCTACTGTGTAATCCAGCCAGCATTAAAACTGTTGTTCTATAAAGAGTAATCCAAATAACAAAATAAAAAATAGCAAGGAACAAGTGTTTTCTTACCTCTGTATTATTTACAGTTACTTGTTAAGCTGCTTAAATACTTGAGTTCATCTACCAACTCCTCAAAGGGCTCTGTTCTCTCCTCTGCTGTCTTCACGAGGCATTTTTTTTCCTCTGCAAAAGGATAGTCTACTCAAAGAGGAAGTGGTGAAACACCAGAGCTGTTATGCTTTTTAAATGGTATGGAAATGAAAAATTACCCACAAAGCTTACACTTGGAATCACAGTGACCGGCTAGCATTTGTGTGGGTCTATATATGTAACTAATGTATACACATTTATATCTGTAAGCGAATTTTAGAAAAGTGATTGAAGTCTATACTTGATCAAGTAATAATCATTTACATAAGGAAACATCTCGTGTGTGGTTCAACAATTATCATAGAAAACCAGAAAATGCTGCTCTCGGCGGAAGAAAACTGTCAAGCTGATACACGAGGAATGAAATTGCTCTTATAAGGCTAATTAGCTTAAAGTCTTTGGAATATGACCTAAATGCTAAACTGACTACAGACATCTTATAAAAAGGGGGAAAAAAATGGCTTCAGTAAACGGGCATTTTCCTGGAATCTGGGTAGTGGTTTTTTTTTACCTACAAGTCTTAAACTTCCTTTCTCATGAGTAGTTGCCTGTGACATACAGATAAAGCATTGCAAAACCGAAACTGTTGCTTATCCAAGTGCTATGGTCTCTCTCAACTTCAGCCACAAGAACAAAAAACAGGTGCACCTCCCGAAACGCTGAACATTTATCTGGTTGTTTCTAACAGGTTGGGACATTACCAGAACTTTTACGGGACAGTAGGGACAGTGGTCAAAAAGGGCCTACAACAGTTGATCAAAGCAAATGCTATTGCCAACTTCAAAGGAAAGAAAGTATAACAGAAGCAAATGGGTAGCTGCAATTTGTATGTGGTCCCTTCCCACCTCCCTTGCTCGTTGGGGAAGAGGAAGAAGGTGGATTGCAAGAAAAACTTAATAGTTATGCAAACGTCCACAAGTTGTAAAAACCACATTCTGGACTTTAGAAACGATCATACTATACCACTCTCTCTGCCTTTTACTTAACCCTGTTTTCAAAGGGGCAATAAACTGTAATTAGGGATGTTTAAAAATAGAACCATTTTGCCCTTCACCTGAACTCATACTTAATGTGAATTTGCAGGAAGTAAAAATAAATGAACAAACAATACTAAGAAAGCTGTCCCCTCACATACAACAAAACAAAAAAAGTCTAAACAAAAAACCCTACCTGCATGCCATCAATATAAAATTTGATTTGAATTCATTGTGAGATACATATAGGAAAAATCCTTGAAGGAAACGTTATTAATGTGAATAACATTGTTTAGATTTTATGTACTTTGAGAAAATTGTAATATTATTGGGTTTTAATATTATTGGAAGCACAGTGCTCAATATCTTGGATTTTAATGGGCTACCTCAGGATTTGTGTCTCTTTTACCGGGCTGGTGGATATGCATCTGTTTCTCTAAATGATCCTTTCCAGGCTAGTGAATCTGCTCAAGTTTCCTACATCTCAAAAAATGCTCCTCTGAGTGACCTGCCCTATTTACTTCCCTTTTTGAGAAAGTTGTCAACATTGACTTCCTTCAAGTCCTCATTGCTTGTGTGTGTGTGTTAGAATATACATAAAACAAAATTGACCTTTTTTTGTACCATTTTATTTTATTTTTTATTGATTTCAGAGAGGAAGGGAGAGGCAGGGAGGGAGATAGAAACATCAATGATGAGAGAGAATTATTGATCAGCTGCCTCCTGCACATCCCCTACTAAGGATTGAGCCCACAACCTAGACATGTGCCCTTGACCAGAATTGAACCCTGGACAATTCATTCTGCAGGCCTATGCTTTATCCAGTGAGTCAAACTGGCTAGAGTTTTTTTTTGTTTGTTTGTTTTTACCATTTTAAAGTGTGTTGTTCAGAGGTATTAAGTATGTGCACATTGTTGTACAACAACAATTCCCTAAAAACAGTGTTCGATTAAAATAAAATAAGTATATTCATGGTTTTAGCTCCCATTTTTCCCCCAAGACCTATTTCATGACCACTTTGAAGACTACTGAAAGAGCAGTATTTCGGTTGCTATCTATATAGCTCAGTGGTGAGAGAAGTACTTCTGTTTCATGGATTTATTTTTTAACTTATTAAAGAAACAGCTTTACTCTTTAAGCATTCATATCATTTTTTTTCTGTTTTGATTTTATGCAGTTGGAGAATTGAAGAGGAAAGCATTGTCTGATCATTCTCAAATACTTTTGATCCTCAATTCCTCACCTGTAAAGAGGGGATGAGTATACCAATTTTATTAGGGTTCTGTGAGGATTAATTAGATATTATAGGTAAAAAGCCCAGCAGAATAAGTTTCCTGATAAGTACGATGCTGATACTTCCCAAATTTGGAGAGCACACGATTGGACTAAAAATTATTTTAATTTATGCATTCATTTATTTATTTAAAAAACATTACATTTCTTGTGTTTGTTAAGAAAAATGAATCAAAAGAACCAAGAATAGAGGAATTTGTGGAAAGTCATCTATTCATTCATCCACTCAATATTTACTCGCTGCTATATGTAAGGAATTGTACCAGGAGCTGGGAATACCAAAAGAATGATAGGATTGTGCAGGTTATTCTCTGTCTGTCTCACCCCTCCCTGATCTGCTCTTTTGCCTAGAAGCTGATCTGTACACACCACATCCGAGGCTCCCTTGCCCCTCTTCCTTCTGATTAGCGTTAGCCAATGGATGCATCAGCGTGAGATAGAGGAGACAGAACTGGAGTGTGTATTTGCATCTCCTTCATCCTGTCAGGCACGGTTTAGGAAGTGGCTGCATTCCTCGCTTTAGAGCCACCTCATTCTGCCTGCTCTTCTTCCTCAGCTGTAGTTCTGACCAAGTTCAATAACATGGTTCTTCCTTGCCTTTCAGGTCTAGGAGTGGTGACAGCTTTTACCTTTGTCAACCTTTGGGTTCTTTACCAAACCTGGTCAACTCCTAATCATGTCAACACCTCTCAACAACCCTTCATTAACTTTTCTGAAATGGTTCCTTTTCAATGCACCCACTCACTCAGGCAGGGCTTACTCTCCACATCTACATTAGTCTTGTTATGCAATCAAATGATGCATATTACTTTGAAAGTGGCCTATCAGAAGGTGTAGAGTTTCAGAGGAAACACACAGTGGAAAGCCACAGAAGATGTCTTAGGCTGGGGGAATCAAAGATCACAGTTCAGAGAAAGTGATAATGAACAGAGACTCGAAGGATGAGTAGGACTTCATTGGGTACTTAGAAGGGGGAGGAATTGGAAGATGCACGGAAGTCAGAGAAAAAGCATCCTATTGGTGGAGTTGCTATTTGGGAAGGTTGGAAAGGAGAGGTGAAGGAGCAGATAAAGCCAGAGAGGATGGCAAAGGGCATAGTAAGAAATGGTGTCTTGAAGTATGAGCCCAGAAAAAGCAAAAAACAATAACAAAAACAACAACAACAACAACAACACACACACACACACACACACACACACACACACACAAACAAACAAAAACAACCTTTAGGTGAGCAATCAGGTCTTTTGGGCATCTGTTCTTTTTCTTACCCATTACTGTTTCTCTTAGTACCAAGCCCATCCTTGGTATCAGCCAATGTAAGGTGAGTGGTATTGGTTTTCTTCATACTCTAATGTTGGTGTAAGCATGTGACCAATGTCTGGTCAATACATATTTAATCCTTTCCCTTTGCCACAGTGATCAGTTCAAAGAGGGTCATATGATTCAAGCCAGCCAATGAGACTTACGTCTGGAAATTTTAAGCTCTGCTTTTGCTGGGATTAGCTATCTGTAAGACTGAATTTTGATAACATCGCTACAGCCCCTGACTCCTGATCTCTGCTTTTTTCACTTATTGTGCCAATAAATTCTTAGGTTTCTGACACTTGCAAGCACAAGGATCTTTTATATCAGGAAGGAAAATCTGGAAAAGAAGACATTTTATTTAAGTGCAGGGTGTCAAGAAAAGCAAGGGTTTTCATTGTCTCTAGACCAGCAGTGTGTAATAGAAATATAATACAAGCCACATATATCACTGAGAATGTTCTAATTCCTATATTAAAGAGAAACAGGTGAAGCCGTAACCAGTTTGGCTCAGTGGGTAGAGCGTCGGCCTGCGGACTCAAAGGTTCCAGGTTCGATTCCGGTCAAGGGCATGTACCTTGGTTGCGGGCACATCCCCAGTGGGGAGTGTGCAGGAGGCAGCTGATCGATGTTTCTAACTCTATATCCCTCTCCCTTCCTCTCTGTAAAAAATTAATAAAATATATTTTAAAAAAAGAGGAACAGGTGAAATAAAATTGAACAAAGCATTTTGTTTAACGCAACATATCGAAATGTTACCATTTCAATATGTCATCAATATAGAAAATTGTATTTTTTCATTTACACTTAAATTAATTAAAATTAAATACAATTAAAAATTGAGTCCTCAGTCACACTAGCCACATTTAAAGTGCTCAATAGAATTAGACAGCACAGCCCTAGGCTAGATCCTAGTGCTAGGTGCAGTGGACAGAAGTCCAGTTAAAGCTGAGCCTCTAGTCAAATTTTAGGGCTTCGAAATGAGGAGCTACTTATTATTTTCGAATAGGGAAATGATGTAAGCAAAACACTGCTTCAGTGAAAATAAACTGGAAGCTACAGCATCCTCATTTCCCAGTCAAATTAATGATGCCTTTCTCTCTAATTGTTTGGAGTCATAAGGACATATGTCAGATTCTCTACGGGCAGAAACACCCATTTAGAGGAAGGCAGTCTGAAAAATAATCTGGTGTTGAACAGAATTCTCTTAGGCCCTTGTCTATGCATTCTTTTGTGCCTAATGAGATTTGGAACATTTCCATGGCATTGAGTGGCGTGCCAGCCTCTAATTCCTGCTTCTGGACTATCAGGTACAGTAAGGATGATGGAATCGAATGCTTGATGCAAAAATGACTAAAAACATTCCCTCCTAATGTGTACATTAAGTAAAAGGCTGGTCCTGATGTGAGGCCTATTCAAATAGGGAAGCAATAAGACTCTTAGATTCAAGGACGCATACTACATGCTGTCAGCTCCGAAGTGGGGGAGATATGCTGTACTTTGTTCTTGTCCCATCACAGTTTCTGTCTGTAGTAGATTTTCCAAAACCTGTATTTGTTTAATGGAACTAGTGAGTTATAAATTATAAATAACAATCTCTCAGATTTTCTCAGACAATTAACAGAAAATAGAACAGATCACTTTAAAAATAGTTTTCAACGTTGAACCTATCTAACATATTTTAATAACTTTTTGCTTCATTTTTTTTCTAATCAACATTTTATTTTCTTTAATCTTTCCATAATCACCAATGATTTAAAGGCTTTTCGTTCTTGGAACATTCATTATAGTTTTAATCCAATGAGTATATGATTTCTAAGAGTCTTCATACCCTAGCAAATGAATTATGTTAACAGATGTTTTTATTTTTTTCTGTAAGAACATGTCAAATCCCTGAGCAGAGGCACTTTCTATGGTTAGTGAAACACTTTGCTTCTGCCCCCTGAGAGGGCTGTGTGTTATTTCTATGGTGAAACAAAGAAAGGATATGTTCCCCTCCACAGCACACAACCACCACAACAGAAGAACATGTTTCAAAATGGGGTCAGGTCAAGAAAAAAGCCTCCAGAGGAAAGTTGCTGGGGACTGGCCACACCCAACCCTCCAGGTAGTGCAACAGCCGTTGGTGATGACTCCAGCAGATCACAGCCCCTGTGAGAAAGCTGTGGCTGCTTTAATGAGACTCCCGGAAACAATGGTGTGGTGTAATGTGGGACGCGCTCATAAAATGATACATGGGCTCCATTTATTTGCTTTTTGTTTGTTTGGAGCAATGATGAGATACCTATTTGAGAATGTTATGGGGGTTCAGTTTATGGGGCTGTAAGCATCAAAAAGAGAAGTGGGATTTCTTAAGGAGGATTTCATGTCTGCTCTTTGGGAGCAGTTGTCTTTCTCAATAGCGTTAACTACTTTAGAGTTTTGAAGAGCAGTTTTGACAGTTGATGGGAAGTGTGGATGGCATTTGGCTACTGCAGAGTGAGCCCTTGGTGGTCATATTGCAAAGCTTTAGATGCGCTGTTTTGTTATAAAACATTTACACGAGCCTTAATGCATTCTGTTCTTCCCAAAGCCATTTACTAGCAGGTACACAGCTTTTAGAAGTCTTCAAATTAAGTCACATATGTTTATAGTGTCTGAATATTCACAAAAATATCAAAGCTGAAATCCGTGACACACGCTGGGGAAGCTAAGCCCATATACTGTATCCTCAACTAAATCAGGGGCTTGCAAGGTTTTCTGAGTGTCAGGATGTGATGCACTTTTGCTTCATGAAAATACCTTATACATATATATATATATATATACTAGAGGCCTGGTGCACAAAATTTGTGCACAAGGGAAGTATCCCTGGCCTGCGCCAGTGATCAGGGCCTATCAGGGAGTTCCTTCCCCCAGCTGCTGGCAGCTGGCCCTGCCCCCTCTGCTGCCACTGCTTGACATCTGTGCGGTGCTGCCTCCCCCTCCCCCACCACCGGTCGTCTCTCTCTGTGGAGTGCAATTGCTTGGCTGGACTGGGCCTCCCTCTGTGGGGCAATTGATCGTGGGGCCCCCAGATCGATCGCCCCACATAGGGAGGCCCTGCCCACCCGGCCGGGGCTCCATGATCCATCACAGCGCAGAGGATGGCCTGGGCCTCCCTCTTTGGGGCAATTGTGGAGCCCCCCCCCCCCCCCCCCCACACACCACATAGATTACACACTACCTTTACAATGTAAGACTCCATGACAATACATTGAAAATGAAGGAACAGCCTTGGCCCATGCGGCTCACTTGGTTGGGCGTCTTCCCATGCACCGAAAGGTTGTGGACTTAATCCCCAATGGGGATATGCAAGAGGCAGCCAATCTATGTTTCACTCTTACATTGCTGCTTCTTTCTTTTTCTCTCTCCCTCTCTAAAAATCAATAAAAAAAATCTTTAAAAATTAAAATGAGGGAACAAACTAATTGAATAGCCAGAGCTGGAGAGGAGAGTATCATTATTTTTGTTGCCTTTCTGCTGCCCCTATGAGAATTGCTTGGGAAGAAAACCTCTTAATTATTTAACTAGCTACTTAGTTGACTCTCAGTTGGGTTGGACTTCAGTTCTCACACGCTGAATGCCATAACTTCATGAGCACCACCCTGGCTTTACTGTCGTTGGCTCAGACTACGAGGCAAGGCCACGCATTTTATGTGTTGTCCTTGGAGTAGCAGTGGAACCTTGGTGTTCTGCCCTATCAGGAGCAGCCCATGACTCCTTTTTAGGATTCACCTGGCCATCTCAGTTATTCTCGTGTCCTGCATAAGTTGTGACAGAACAAGATCTAGGAAACAAAGAAATTACATTGGGCGGTCATCTAAGGTAATCTTTAGCCATTATCTTTAGAAGCTTAATGGTTGATGTCCACTCCTCCCAAGTATGTAAGAAAAGATGGCCTTGGGAGCAACTTGGAAAGAAGTCAAGGTGAAGTCTGGTGTATTACAAGTCATAATTTGGGTCACATTTGAAAACAAACAAACAAACAAAAAACACCACCACAGTGCTGGTGCTGTTGGTAAGCATTGGCCTAAGGACAGGCAGTGGTTCAGAAACTTGTTTTTCTTTAAAATAATCTCACACAGAATGGCAAGTTTGGGTCGCAGGTGTAAACCCTTAGGCCTTACTTCCTCAGTGAGCTCAGTGCTGGTCTCAAAGACAAAAAAAGAGAAAGAAAAAAAAGAAGTTTTGCATTGAAAACAG